CAAGTGTTGGAGGGACCTCCAGAGTAAACCCTAGGGGTTTAGGGTCTATAGGGTGGTAGGGTTTAAGGTTTAGGGCTTGGGAGAAACCCTAATTTACTCCCAAACCCTCGCCCAAATCCATACCCCCGCCCGAACCTTTGACTCCAAACCTGGGTCCAGAAGCAGCCTTCGAGCTTGAAACACCACAGCCCAAACCCTAGGTTTTAGGGTTTACGGGTTTAGGGCTTTGGGGTTAAGGGCTTAACCTAATGGTAGTGAGTCCATGTGAGTCGAATTGTTTAAAGGGGCCACCTGATCTCGTGCCCGTGCCCGAGACGAAATTCTAAACCCCAATCGCCTTCCTAAGCCCTGTGAAACCCAGGATTAGGATGACTAGGGTTTAGGGTTTTAGGCTTCCTCTTATTTCAATGCTCTCGCTAGCTAGCCGACGCGAAACGGTAGAATCAGAACACAGGCGAGGCAGCCTGGTATAAACCCTGAGCAACCCCAAATAAGAACAAAGAATTTCCAGAAAAGCACAAACCGCGATAACAGACCAACGAAACCCCGATAATTAGAAGCCAACAGAAACTTACAGCGTAAGAACACCCTGCTCCCTCAACCCTAAACCCTAAAACCCTAAAGACCCTAAACCCTACGGTTGATGATGTAAATCCTGCATGGCCCATAATAATAAGGAGTATACCATAATTCCCGTAGTTTAGGGTCCTTAAGGTAATGCAGGATTTAGATCATCAACAGTAGGACCCTGAAACCCAGGATCCTCCACCCTAAGACCCTAAACCGCCCACCCCCCCCCCCCACTTGAGGCTCCACACATGATGTGATGCCCACGTGCTAGCCATCACCGCATAGCCAGGCACCTTTGGGGGTTCGCCAGGGCTTGGGGTAGGGGTTTACGCGTTTGGGGATTGGGGGTTTTAGGGGCTGTTAGGGTAAGTAGGGTTTTTAGGGTTAAGGGTTTAGGGCTTTGGGGTTTAGGGCTTTAAGGGTTTAGGGGTTTAGGGGTTTAGCGTTTTAAGTTTAAAGAGTAGGGGGTTTAGGGTTATTTAGCTTGCCCGAAGGAATCCTTTACGGGGACCCTTAAGGGAAGCCCGTGTAAGTCGCCCTCATAAAACCCTTGAGGAATTCCTCAAAGGATTGCTTTAAGGGGTCTATATGGGCAGTGATAAGGGGGATTAGTTTTAATGCGTTAAGGCTTACTACAAGGGTTACTATAATAAGCTGTTGTAAGGGACTTTGCGGGAGGTTGATTGTAAGGATTTACTACGAGGGTTGCCTTCGAAGTTGCGCTAAGGCTCCACGGGGCTCCCATCTAGGTCCTGTACGGGCCAAAGTCTATACTGTATGGGTACATGGAGCGGCGTCGGGTCGAGGGTTGAGGGCTTCGGTTATGAGGGCGATGGTGGGGAGGGGAGAAGGGTCGTGAGTTGTCTTTAACCCTAAACCCTATAAACCCTCTAAACCCTCTAAGCCCTATAAACCCTATAAATCCTGTAAACCCTATAAACCCTCCAAGCCCTAAGCCCTAAACCTTCAAGAGTCTGGGCTTCAGGGCTTTGGTTTCGGAGTCTGGGCTTAGGAGACTCCCGCCACAATACTGACGCCGGACGACCACAAGCACGAAAGTTTAGTTGCTGTACTGTTACTGTACTAGTTGTACTCGTGGGGGGGGGGGGTGGCATCAGGGGAGAACTATTCATGGCGGAGGTAAGCTTTTGAGAGGAGGTGCCGGTGCAACGTTGAATTGAATTCCCGACAAGACCATTTAGCCCGAAAAACCTTGAACCCTAAACCAGGAAAAAGAAGCCTTATAAAACCTAACCCTAAGCCAGGAAAATCAAAAAAACAACTGTAAACCCAAAGGGCTAAACCCAAAAGGAACCTCAAAGGTTCCTCGGGGTCCCGGCATCGTAGACGCGGCCGCCCACGCTGAGATTCCGACGGCCGAGGTGCTGCGAAGGGGAAGAGAGGGTTTAGGGTTTAGGGGTTTAGGGTTTAGGGTTTAGGTCCACTTTATAGGGTTTAAGGCATGGGGCTACTACCAGGGCTTCGGGTTGGTCGGCCCCTCTTCAAAAGACTCCTAGAAGTCTAACGTCTTCTTCCTGCTTTTTTAATTGGGGGGTTGGGGCTTAGGGCTCCCGAGCCTATGATCCCTAAACCCTAAACCCAAAACGCTAAACCCTAAACCCACCAACAGGGAAGTCGAGGAAAGGGCTCAGGCTTGGGGGTTCCGAGCTGCGCCTCGGCCTTACCTATCAGCTCATCCATTGCTTTTAAGGTTTAGGGGTTTAGGGGTTTAGGGTTTAGAGTTTATTTAGTAAAGCTATTACAGTTTAGGGCTTAAGGCTGTTACTGTATCTGCTTGACATGGGATTTACAAGCCTGAAGAGTGTGTAAAGTTTAAGAACAAACCCAGCTACTTTTCATCGAGGAGCGAGATGTGTCTCTGGTCCCAGCCGATAAGCTTCTGCAGGTTGGGCAAACCGTGTCCCTAAAGGCACGCGGATGAAACACCCTCCCGATTGCCGAAAACACCGGACACCGGCACAGGGTGCGGCTAAGACGCACCCCCCAACCAGGCCAAAAAAGGGAAACCCCGGCACCACAGGGTGCGGATGCACCGCCCCTTGGCTCAGGTGTACCCGCTTCAGGTAAGTCTGCTGCAACAGTACAAATCTCTGAGGCGCAAGGCTACACCTAGAGCAACTACACCTACCGCTGCTTAACGCTCAAGTATAGCAGTTCTTATGTTCGACCAGAAAAACTGCTAACTACCCTTAAACCTCCAAGATGTTCCGTAAACTGTTCCGTAAACTTGCATATCCAACCATTTTTCAGCTCTACAGCCGCTGCCTACTCGACAGTCATGTTGTAGCTCAGGCCTCCAGCAAGCGCTTGATTTCGGAATCATAACCCCTTGCCATCATGTGTGCCGGACGCCCCTCGAAGTTACACGAATTCTTGTCGGCGCCAGCGTCCAAGAGCAACCGAACTATTCCCGCATGACCGCCACGTATTGCATCCATCAGAGCTGTGTCGCCCGAATTGTCACGCTCTTCCACGTGGGCCCCGGCCCGAAGCAGCAACACCACGGCTGAAGCATGACCGTTGTATGCTGCTTGCATCAGCGCTGTACTGCCCCGCTCATCACCAACATCCACCTGAGCACCCGCCAGCAGTAGCAACTTTACCACTTCAGCACGTCCGCGGAGAGCTGCATAGATCAATGCAGTACGACCGCCCAGGTCCCTCAAATCCTTCTCAGCACCTGCCTCCAGGAGCAATTGTGCGACATCTACCTGGGTAGTTCTCTAACGTCGGGTCCCTTTTCAGGTCCCCAATATATTAGTACGAAACCCTTCTGAAAAGGGACCCCTAGATTTAGAGATCTACAGCCACCTGGCCCGACTTCGACGCCCAAATCAGCGGCGTCGTGCCCTCCTCGTCTGGAGCATCCGGGTACTGGGGGAGCTGCAGCAGAGCTTCCACCTGAAAGCTTTCAGAAAGCCTGGGTTCCCAGAGACTCCAAAACCCCCTTCTTTAATTAAGGAATATATATATATATATACACACACCTTTGATTAGAATAGGAACCCTAATATAAGATTTAAGGTATCTTCCCTAATTAAGGGATTTTGGAGTCTCTGGGTTGCTTCTTACTGTAGGAACCTGATCAAGAAACCCCGGCCCGTTTGGTTCCCCAGCATCCTAGGATCCATGTTAAGAGCCCTAACATAAATTAAGGAGATGTGTCGTTGCTGGGTTGTCTGTCAGATGAGGGCCCCTGCCTGATCCACCAGGCCAGAGGCCGCCGCCTCGAATAGTTTTGGCCCCTCTTCCGCCCGAGTCTCGATGAACGGCACTATCACAGCCTGGAGATCCATCGCGGTGTCCAGCTGCACGGCATCATCCAAAGGATTGCCATCATGAAGAAGCCTGCTCTCGGGCAAGTTATAGTAGTAGTTGATGATAATGACCATGGCAACTACCTAACTACCTATAGTCTCCATTGAAGAAGCCTTTGCCGGAAGCGTGGCGGCAGGCCATGCTGCTGATGAAGTCGCTGCTTCAAGGCCTTCACGTCGCTGAGCTGCGCCAGAGGAAGGCTGGTCAGCTCCTCCCCGGAAAGCAGCGTGACACGCAACATGAGCCGCCAAGCACGGACGGGGTGGTGGGAATTGAACTTGAGGCAAGAAGCTGCAGTCCGAGACGTGTTCTCAAGTGGTGGGCAGCTGAAGACATGGGAGAAGAAGCAAACTAGTGAAGCGCTAGCATGGAAACCCGCGCCCTGGCATGTCCAGCACATTGGGCAGTTCTCTAAATTAGGGTCCCTTCTAGGGTCCTTCTTTTAAAGGGTGCCGTACTATGTTGGGGACCTAGAGTGGGACCCTGATTTAGACAACTACCCACACAGATGTAAGTAGTCACACTGCAAAGAAATGGAAAGCATGATCATCTTTTGCGCATGTTCAGATGATGGAGATTCATGGGTAGTTATAAGTGGGGTTATAAGTAGGGTAGCTATGATTCTAACCCATATAGGGGACATATAAGCCTACTTATATCCACCCCTAAACCCTAAAAGCCCTATAGAACCCTTTAAAGGAACCCTTAAAGGAACCCCATAACCCTACTTTGCTGTACCCATGAACCTCCAAGTTGGCATCCCTAGACGCGCAGCTTTGGCACGCTGCTCCGGGAAGCCCGGCACTGCGGAGGCTTCCCGTCGATTTTTGGGGTTCTGGGGTTCCGGGCTTAGGGCTAGGATTTAGGGTTTAGGGCTTAGTAGGGTTTAGGGTTTAGGGTTCCGGGTTTTTGGGCTTTACTAGCTTTTCCTCATTACTAACCGTAGTAACTACGGTTGATGATACCCATAATAAGGAATACACCATAATTCCCATAGTTTAGGGCCCTGAAGGTAATGCAGGATTTATATCATCAGCAGTAATTACCCATACTCCAAGAGTTTAGATGAAGTCTTTCTCACCGTTGCGTGTTTGGGATCCTTGAAACGGGAAGGACCTGAATCCCAAGCCCTCACAAGGAAGCCTGCTCGACTGTCTGGGTTTGTTCTCAGAAGACCGAAGCCTTGCACACACCCACTATGAGTACCACAACAGAATCTCAACGAAGCTCAGAGACCTTGGGTATTTTGTTGATCTCAAACATGACCTACACCCTGAACCCTCAACCCCAATCCCTCGCCCTCGGAAAGCTTCTCTAAAACGACCGCCTAAAGGATTTAATTACAAAACTAGAACCTCCCAGCAGGATGCTACTGTCCTCCACTATCCGAGCATTTCTCATAATAACAAAGGGCGTCCGTCTTTGCTATTCTTCAGGTTGAATGAGGGAGACCCTGCAGAAAGTGCATAAGCGTGCGTATACGGGTTCATGTACAGCTTTCTTTTCAATAGCTCGCTGTTCTAGCCTAACCCCCGTAAGCTCTAAACCCTAAACCCTAAAACCGTAAACCCTGAACCCTAAACGACCCCCTACAAGAACCCCGGGCGATGCTCCGCGGTCAGCGGCGGCGGTGCTTCCGAGACCTTCAACGATAAACACAGCGAGAAGGCCTCGTGTTCATACGGCTCATGCACTAAAGCCCCATAAGGGTTCCTTTAAGGGCTCCTTATGGGGACTCTTTTTAAGGTTTTGGGGTGTAGGGTTTATAAGGATTCCTTTAAGGGTTCCTTATGGGGCTCTTTTTAAGGTTTTGGGGCTTAGTGCTTAAGGCTTATAGTGTAAGTTTGTATCGTATGTACTTAGGCCTTAAAAGGAATCCTATACCTATACACAAGTACTTTAAGGCCTATGTGTGTGTGTGTACCTTAACCTACCAAAAACCTACCCTTTTGTAGGGTCCCTAGAAATCCATTATGACGGTTCTCATAATAAGAACCTACAAAAAAGTAGGGGCGGCCTGCGATACAATCATCTAGGAACCTGACGAAAAACCCCGGGTCCCAATGAACCCCAAGATATAGGAACCCGACAAAGAAACCCAATAAAGACCCGTTGCGTCATCATGTCCTTCATTCGGGTTTTGATTCGAGATTAGAGTACCTCCCGGGATCCTAAATAGCCTACCTTTTGAAGGCCTCGTATACGGAAAACACTTGGGTTTGTAGGGCCTGGAAACCTTCCAACCCCTAAACCCGCAAAGCCCCTAAACCCTACAAGTAACCCCTAAACCCTCAGCCACTGAACCCTAACACCCTGAACACTAAGCCCGAGACCCCAAACGCTCCTGAAGTGTCCGAGTTCTCCTTATTGCAGGCCTTTGAGGCTTTGGGGGGATACCAAAAGCCATAAATGAGGACTCCTTGAACCCTAAACCCTGAACCCTAAACCCTACAAGCCCTAAACCCTGAACACTAAAAACTGAACCCCAAACCCTAAAACCCCAAAAACCCCCCCTAAACCCTCAACCCTAAACCCTATACACCCTAAACCCCAAAACGAAGGCCTCGGCCAAGGCTTCCGGCGGTTCCGCGACGGGCTCGAAAGCACCGGCATCCTCGCCGAGGGCTCGGCAATTCGAGCGCACTTCGGGGATTCTTAGGGTTTAGGCTTGGGGGTTTGGGTTTGGGTCTGGGTTTAGGGTTTATAGGGTTTAGGGCTTGGGTTTAAGGTTCAGGGTTTTGGGCCGAGGGCTTGACCAGCCTTGCGGGTTTATGGCTTTAAGATCATACAAGTGCTCTTTTATTTAGCTCGGTCTTGGAAGGTCTTACAAGGCCTTCTTGGTGTGTGTGCAAGGATTGTATGGAGTGCTTGGTTTTGTGCAGGGCTCGGCATGTAGGGTTTTTTGAAGCGGTTGATAATGGCTTCAAAAGGGTTATGTGATAAGTTCTCTTTGGACCGTCAAGTGTACATTCGGGTTCCTGAGGTGTCATGATGAAGCTCAGTGGTTAAGCCTTCTCCAATGAGCAACTGACTTAATTAAGCCGGAATGACAGCTTTCAAGAAGCGGTTCCGAAGTGTCTGGGTTCTAGTATATCGTAGGGCTAGAGTCGCGGGGGGGGGGGGGGGGGGGGCTGTAACTTGCACTTGGTTTGGAGCTATCTAGAAGGTCCAAGCGCATGAAGAGGTATGTGCATTCAGGGTATGTAAGGTGTCACAAGATCAGGGGAGGCAGTACGTGAGGTTGAAATACGGCAATGGCTCCTTAATCTGAGCTCTTTATACAAATCCTTAACCCTAAACCCTAA